GAGACCCCCGGTGCTGGTGCCGCCCACGGCGCCCGCGCGGCCCCCGTCGGCTGCCCGACTGTAACGACTTGTGATGTGCGGCGTGGCAGCCCCTTACGGCCGCCGTTATTGGCGACGCTGCGGCGTAGACGCAAAACCAGTGCCACACACTGGCGCTACCACATCTGGCACTGCCACATCTGGCACTGCCACATCTGGCACTGCCACATAAGGCACAGTTACCAGCGCACGCGCCAGGCTTCAGCCAGTGGCACACTCTGGAGCTGTCACTAACGCACTAGGTGCTTCAGCCAGTGCCACAATCTTTGGCTGTCACTAACGCACTAAGTGCTTCAGCCAGTGCCACACACTGACGGTGCCACATCTTGCACTGCTGTCAGCGCACGCGCAAGGTGTTTCAGCCTGGCTTAAGCAAGTGCAAACACTCTGGGGCTGCCACCAGCGCACGCACCAAGTGCTTCAGCCAGTGCCGCACTCTGGCGGCGCCACTAGCGCAACGCACCTGGTGCTTCGATCAATAATGCCACACTCTGGCGGTGGTGGTGCCACCAGCGGACGCACCACATGCGTCATTTAGTGAGTGCCACACTCTGGCGCGCTGCCATCAGAGCACGCGCCAGATGCTTCAATCAGTTTATGGGGCGCGCCTCGTCTGCAACGCGTGAGTGTGACGACCTAGACGGCGAGATAGTTGGGGGGGTCGGAGAAGATGGGATGGGATTCGTTGCCGCGGCGTGAGGCCTTCCCAAATGCATGCACCCCACCGCCGTACTGCCGTCTCTATGGGACCCGCGAGGGCTGCACGGCGGGAGTTGTTATTATTGCCTGCGAGGAGACCGTAAGGATCCCCCATCAGGAGCAGAAACACTCCGCCTTGCGCCGCGCCCCGCCACGCCCCGCCACGCCCCGCCACGCAGCGCCTCGAGTCGTGGAGGATCCCTCGCGGCCGGGCCAGTAGGTCGTAGTTGTAAATTTCCGTGGCACATTTCACGCCGGTAATGTTACCGGCCCCACGGCAAGCCCACGGCGGCAGCGCCCCGCCTCGCCTGACAGCTCCCCCATTGCGAAAATGAGACCACGGTCCCGTTGCACGCCCCCTCGGAATATTTAAAATAAGGATAATTACTGGAATGCGAGGAGAAATGAAATGAAAAATACCAAGTATACAAAAATAAAAATAGGGAAAAAACCAGTTTCGCACCACAAAACAGTCTTGTTCTGGTACAAAGATTCACTAAGAACTGATTCAGAAGAAATCCCTCGTTTTTCTTTGGGTGGGAAGAGATCAGGGGTGAGATAGCGGTTGATAGATAAAATTGCCAAAACGCAATAAGGAATCGACCAAAAAGCGCGACCGTTTTTCTCAAATCACAAGAGCTCGTCGCCTGCGAGACTCGGGGTAAGCTAACCCGCAATACACGCACGCACATCACGCAAAACTTTGCCTACCTACCAGGCGCTAAGAGAGCAATGCCTTGGCCCAACTTGGCTGTTTCGTGACGGCGTACTTTCTGGATGGTCCCTAAAGGGTCGAAAGGTCTGGACTCACCGTGCACTCGGGCTCTCCGACGTAGCACATGTCGCCCGACTGGGTGGTGGGCGACCAAAGGTGGTCTCCGTTGACGGCCGACTCGGCCCAGTCCGGCGTGGCTCTGAACTCCCTCTGCGCGCCCTCCGCGCCCACGGCCCGCCTGCAACACAAACAGAAAGGGTAACGGCGCGGCCCTGGGCTGCAGGGGAAAGGAGAGGAAGGAAAAGTTTCTCTTCCAAATATATGCAGCCCGTCACGAGAAGAGAGGCTTACTTGGATTACGAAGCCACATTGAAGAAGGTAATAGGAAAAACTCCAAATCATCAGAAAAAAAAGTTTTGGTAGCTATACAAGGCAGAAACTTGAATTAAAAAGAAGAAAAAAGTGGGAATCAGGAATCACGCGATGTAACTGAACACAGAGTCGGACATTCTTCTTCACCTGCATAAAAGATTTTTAGGATTCTGAAACTTCTAGTGGATCACTTTGTGAAGTCAGTTGAAAGTTACGAGGAAGGGGTGTAACCGCGCACTGACCTTCAGCTCACAAGGGCAATTACCACCAACACTGGCCAAAATTAATTTACGCCAAAACGGAAGTGGAGAGAGCAAAGTGGGGGTGGGTCCGGCGCCAAAACAGGTGTCCGAGAGCAAAAAAAAATAAAAAAATAAAATCTCTATTCCCCCGAATGTGTGTCCTGGACATGGCATGGGTTGTACCTGGCGCCGCAGGGAAATATCCTGTCACGTTTCATGGTGCGATCCTCGGATCCAGGTGGGTCTCAGCCGACGTAATGCGTTGTGATTGCGACTGGATTCGTCTACCACGACACTATGGATCACGACAGGATATACTTTGCACCGCGAACCAAGAACACACGGCGATGTTCAGGGCACATACAGGGCATCCCTTTCTCGAGGGCGGAAATGGAGGGGGGGAGGGAAGGAGATGATCCAACTCGATATTGGTAATTGTTTAAGCCACAATGCCGCATACACGATACGACGAAGGCGGGCGGGCGGAGCGAGTCGAACGGAAGTGCCCCCGGGCATAAGGGAGGGCTACGAGTCACAAAGAGAAAGAATGGGAGCACGAAGCTGGGCGGGCCTCAGCCCACAGCCAACCGAATTATGAAATTGGAGCCCACTCACCTGACTCGTTGACGCGCTCAAGCACAAAATTACATTTTCCACGCGCAGCGAGGTTCCGTCGCCGGACCGTACTCACCTGAGCGTGCAGTGTGGTGGTGGTGGTGGTGGGGAGTCGTGCGTGACTTACCTGGCGAGCGGGACCGCGGGCGCGGGGGTGGCAGCGGGCGCCGCCATGGCCAGCGCCTTGTAGCGCGCCTGCTCGTCCGTGGGCAGCACGATGTCCACGGAGCGCGAGCGCATCGCGCCCGCCCCGGCCATGGGCGGCTCGAGCGTGCTGCCCAGCGTGGTCCCCGGGGCCTGCACCACCTCCTCGGCCTTGCCGCCCGCCGGCGCCTTGTTGATGAAGCACGAGTCGACGGAGGCGGCGCGGTCCCGCTTGAGCTCGGGCACCGCCAGGTAGAAGTCCCTGACGAGCAGGCCCCCGCCGGCCCCGGGCTGCGCGGCCGAGGCCTCCGGGGCCGGCGCCGGCCCCAGCGCCGCGTCGCTGCCGTCCGATGTGGCGTCCGAGTACTCGTACTCCAGCGAGCTGCTCGTCTGCGGCGCCAGCGAAGCCAGCTGCGCCAGCTCCGGTGGTGGCTCCACGAACACGAGCGCCTCCTGGCGCTGGATGGAGCGGCGGCGCACAGGCGAGGCGGGCGGTGGCGTGGGCGGGCGCTCGTTCTCCGGGGAGGCCGGCGACGCGGACAGCGTGACCAGGATGCCGCACGGCGGCACCGCCACGTCGTCCAGGTTTGGCCCCGGCCAGGGCGGCGGCGACGGCAGCGACGACTCGTCATCTCCCTCGTCGTCCGAGTCCTCGCCCACGTCGTCCTCCGAGTCATCATCGTCGTCCTCGTCATCGGTGGAGGGGAGGGGCGCGGCGTGGACCAGCTTCCTCGCCAGCTGCTGCGGCTCGCGGTGATACTCTTCCATGAGCGCGCAGTGGATGCAGTAAGCCGCCGCGCCGCGCTCCCCGGACGATCGCCGCCGTTGGAAGCGTGATTTGGCCGGCACCTCCAGGAACGCCCCGCCGTCCTCGCCGCCAGTCGTCGCGGACGGCGGCGGGGAGGTGTAGGTGCCGCCGCCGCCCGCGCCGTCGAAGCTCTTGGAGCGTTGCCCGCCCACCAGCGGCACCCGGAGCAGCGGCCCCGACGGCTCGGCGGCCTCCGCCCCCGCCGCCGACGACGTGGACGCCCCCTCCATGCGCTTGGCCTCGAGCTGGATCTCGTCGAAGGAGGCACTGCGCACCGTCTTGGGGACGTCCAGGCTGGACTGCATCTTCATGTCGGCGCCGGTCGGGGTGCGCGAGCGCTGAAACGTGTTCCTGAGGCGCTGCATCGCGGCGCTCGGGCGTCGGCCCCCGCGTCCTCATGGTGGAGCACCCCAGGCCCTCGGGGCCCCGGCCGGGGCGCTCGCCCGCGGCCTCGGCACGGCGCGGCCCTCCCGCGCGCGGACCCGCGAGCGGACCCGCGACCACCGCAGCTGCAAACACCAAGCGGCCACGTGACGGCGACGGTCCGCGACACCCAAGACCGCCCATGACGCGCAGCTTGACTCGCTCCACGCGGAGTGACTGTGTAGGTGGGTGGGTGGGACTCTAATGTTACGGATGGTTTTGCACGCCAGTTTTTATCGTGTCCTCTGGGCGCGCTGCTTTGTGTGTTTTTGTTATAAACGTGATCAGGTTCAGCAAGCACCTCGCTGGGGAGTTATTAATTTTCATAGAAAGAGGACCACCTTACTTAGAGGCGCCCTCATAGTCTTATATTCGGCTTCACTTAAATTTAAATTAATATCGGCAATTACAGCGTAATCAGCGCCCTTTCTCAACCTCGATGTTTGGAACGTGATATGGGGCCCCGAAAGGCCGGGACCGCATTCCGTTCGCGCTGCGCGCCTCTCTCACAACAACGACGCTACCTATTTCGAGCGCCGCGATTTTTGGATACAATTCTTCTCGCCTTCCATTGTACAGCTCCGCTACAGCCCCCCCCCCCCCTATTCCTCCCATTTCACCCTTGATCTCGCTGTGTGGCACACAGCCCGGCCAGCCCGGCGTGCGCCGTGGGGCGGCACACTACGTCACACACGCGGCCAAAGGGAATGCTTGGGAACCACAGCACCACCCCCCTTGCTTACTCCAACTTCTATGTACCGAACTAACGTCTTGAGCCGAGGGCGAGCCAACAGCAGCAGAGGGAAACCACGCACCTCTCTCCTAACCTTCCTTGCACTCGCCGAGCCCACCTGCCATCCGTACGCATCTGCTCACACTCGCGCACCTGCCGCGCACCCCCTCCTAGGGGCCTAAACAACAACAACAAAGAGGGTGCTGCGTGTTGGTGCGCCGAGCCGAGTGGGCCGAGTGGCGGCAGCGCGCCAGCTGCCAGCCGAGCGGGGCGGCGCGGCGCGGAGCGGAGCGGGGCGGCGCGGAGCGAGGCACAGACAGAGTTTTGTTTTTCCGCTGTGCGCCTCGGGGAGACGAGCGGGGACCTTGTGGGAGGAGGTGGAGGAGGAGGTGGAGGAGGTGGTGGAAGAGGTCGTGGAGGAGGAGGAGAAGGAGGTAGTGGAAAAGGGTGGAGAAGGAGGTGGTGGAAGAGGTGGTGGAGGAGGTGAAGGCGGTAAAGGTGGAGCAGAGGAGGGGGAGAAGAAGAGGAGAAGAGCGCGAGGGTCGCCCGAGGGCATGGCTGTAGTAGCGGCGTGGGTTTGAGTTGCTGCGAGGGTCCCGCGCAAAGGGGAACGGTATTATTTGTACGTGTATAACGCCGTTGCAACGCTATCTTTGTCGCTATTAAACCGGTAAGGCAATGTTATTTGGAGTTATAACGTAAACGTTAATATCGCATTGAGTGAACGTTGCATACCGTTACGCGTTATACTTAAGTCATGATTATAAATGGCAACGTAACGCACCAACTTAGTGCATCCGGACAACAGTAACGTAAATTTGAAAAACACATTTCCAGCCTTGACATAGTGTCGTCAGCATCACGGAAAAAAAAAAACATTCGCTGTTGCAGACAAAAATTCGCTGGCTCAGACTCAACGAATTTTACTCGTTGTCCAAGCGAATAATTTGCCACGGTAGCAAAGCTGAGGTGGCTAACGCGAGCCCTGTTCCAGTGAACGGCGCTATTTTTGATTCAAGGGCACGCATTCGCCTCCGCAACTAATTCTTTGCTTCCGTAGCAAATTATTCGCTTTAATAAAATTCGTTGAGTCTGAGCCAGCGAATTTTTGTCTGCAACAGCGAATGTTTTTGTTT